TTACCAATTTCTCCTATGTCGATGTCTCCTGGACTTGTTCTGAGTGCAGTGGAGTTCTGGGATTGTGTTTTAGTCCTTCATTTTGTCATGTTTGATACTGGATGCAAAAAGTTCACTTTCCCTCTTCAGTGGCTGCACAGCAAAGGCCACTAGTGTCCCTAGTTTTCCTGTTGGTCAGGTTTGCCCCTCAGTGACCCCTGAGAAGTACTACTTAGTCTCAGGTTTTCCGGCAGTTCTTGATTTGTATCTAGTTATCCCCATTCTCAGACACAGGCCTTAGTGTCAGCTAATGGCAGACCTTCTGATCCAGCGTCCCCTTGCAGTTCAGGGCACATGCACAGCCCAGACTCAGGTTGCACTGGTGTGACAATCCCAGTCCAGTGGACCTATGCCCCCAGGCAGTTCAGGATACAGGCAAAACCCAGAAACAAACTGCAGGGTCAACAGATTGTGAGCCACCTGATTCTGTGTCTCCAGTCATTTCAGGACCCATACAGGACCCAGATGCAGGCTGGACGGGCATCAATCACAGACTGCCCTTGCCTGCGACCCCCTAGGGGGTCTGGGTGCAAGTAAAGCATGGACTTGAACTGCTGGACCAGCAGCTCTTGGAGCACTCACTCACTCGGTGCAGGGCACTCACAGGGAGGGGCCACAAGCACACCCCAGTGAGAGCAGTCCCTGGGGCTTCTGAGTGAGGACCTCCTGTCTGCCACGGGTGCAGGGAGGGCAGAGACTCAGTCTGTAATGGCAGTGGGGTCTTGGGTCACCTGCTCTGCCCCCAGGAAGTAGATGGGAAATACCTGGCTCTCTCCATGAGTTTCAGCTGGGAACTGTGGTGGTGGAAGTAAGGCACGGACTCAAACCACGGGACCAGCAGCTCTTGGAGCACTAGCTCACCCGGTGCAGGGCACGCAAAGGGAGGGGCTACACATGCCCCCCTCCCCCAGCTAGAGCAGTCCCTGGGGCTTCTGAGTGAGTACATCTTGTCTGCCATGGGTGCATGGAGGGCTACATAATTCTTTATACATGTATTGGGCTGGTCTTTGACTTATTCTTTTTGCTTATCTTCCCATGAAAAAGAATACATCTTCCAGGCACAATAATGCTCCTTTTGTACCACTATTATGGAGGCTGATGCAGGAGGGTCAAAAGATCAAGACCAGACTTAGCAAAACTCTGTCTCAAAATTTAAAAGCTTGAAAGGGCTGAAAGGTAGCTAAGAGCTTCCTCAACTCAGCTAACCTGGATTTTGTTGAGTTTTAGTTGCAATAACCATTCTGGTGTTGGGATAAAAACATTTTATTCAAAGTGAGTGTCTTAGTTACTTTTCACATTGCTGAGACAAAATACCCGACAACCAAAGGTAAGGGAGGAAAGGTTTATTTAGCTCACACTTTGTAGAGGGTTCAGTTCATAGCCAGCTGGCTCCAAAGCAGGATGACATTGCAGAGGGAAAACAGTTCATGGTAGACAGAAGACAGCAAAACAACAAGGGATGACCACAGCTCTTTCTATGCCTTGTATCCTATCCAGACTACTTAAGGCAGGTGGCACTCACACCCTTAATCCTACTGCCCTTGAGCCTAGCACTGCACCGTGAATTAATACCAGTGTCACACACTCTAGATCCAGCCACCTCTGAAAAGCCCCACCTGTGACCACCTGTGGCTTTGGGGGACATCTGGACACAGCCCCCCCAGTGAGGTTGGTGTGCATCTGTGTCACCTGGGGTCTTCCTATCTTGGAGTCTGCCCCACATGCTTCGTGCTGCAGACTGGGAGTGCAGCACCTCCAATGCACTAGCAAGCGATCTGCACCTCATTTTGTCCCATCCTAGCCTCGACATCCCAGGGGCCTGAGTGGCAGCTGCTCTGCAGCACCAGGGTAGCCATGGCTGAGCATAAATGTTGAGCATGGCTGGGCACCAATCACATTCTACGGACACTGGTACTTGAGCGCCAGAAGTTTTCCACTGCTGTAAAAGAATATTGTTTTTTTAATTTTTTTTTTTTTTTTGAGACAGAGTCTCACTGTGTAGTCCAGGTTGGACTCAAATTCATAGCAATCCTCCTGACTCTGCCTCCTGAGTGCTAGGATTACAGGTGTGCACCACCACACTTGGCAAGAATATTCTTATTTTGATTTTTTTAACTTAAAAATGAAAAGCACGTTCTGAAGCTTGTGGACCACACAAAACTAGCACTCAGGAGGCTGAGACAGGAGGATTGCTAAAAGCCTGGGTCTGGCCCTGAGCCAGGGTTGCTGACTCCTCCTTCAGCACATGCCTGCAACTCAAGATCATTGATGACAGATGCGCATGTGACCATCTGCCCCAAGTGCACCCACCTGCACACTGCTGGCCACGTGCGAGGTCTGTGGCTCCCTATTCTTCCCCCCGACTGAGCTGTTGGTTTCTGATTCGTTTGGACTTGGCTTTGAGACAGGGTCTCCTGCATGGTCCAGGCAGCCTGGAACTCGCTCTGAAGCCCAAGCCAGCCTCAAACTCGTAACCCTCCTGCCTCAGCCTCTGGACTGCTGGGATTTCAGGCTGCATCACACCCTGCTTGTCAGGATTTTAGTATTTTTTCATGAAAAGTTAACTCTTTTTCACTTTAATTTACTTTTCCCTAACCAGTAATTAAGCAAATGTTGCCCTGGTGGACAGAGAGCAGCCTCGCTGGGGTCCTACTGTGTGTGAGGCTGAGCCCTCGGCATAGCTACTCCTGTAGACGGAAGCACCAGGCTGCAGGTACTGCTGAGCACGGCTCCTCCTGCGCCACCTGGCGGCCTCTGTGCTCAGTGCACCCCTGAGACTTGGGCGGAGCACTGCTCCCAGTCATGGGGTCTCTGCCCAGCAGGCCGTGTGTGATTCTGTTGGGTCCTGCTGCGCACCTGCTGTTTACAGTTTGTATAGTTCTGTTTTTTTCTGAAGTTTTTAAGCAGTACTGTGGAAATTTAGTTTAAATACACGAGTTTTTAGTTTAAAAGTATGTAATTCCACCTCAAATTTTCTGAACATTAGATTATACTTATATATCAATTATACATTTTATGTAAGACATTTAAAGGTGAGGAAAACTCATATACTTTAGGAAGATATTTAACATTTTATTAATAAAGTCATGTATATTCATAGACAATTTAAGAATTGTTCAACTATTTTAATAATTTCAAATTCAGATCTGTGACTGCTTTTTGTGTTTGTAAGTATTAAGTGTTCATAGAAAAGGTATTGATTTATGTGTATATATTTTATTTCATATTAACTCAGAATTCTCTCCATTCTAATTATTTTGTCTTTTTAAATTTGCAGATAGAATATACATCAAGCACAAGTAGATTCAAATTCTGTTTTTTTTTTTGTTTTGTTTTGCTTTGCTTTGCTTTTTTTTTTTAGACAGGATCTCCCTGAGTAGTGCAGGTGGGTTTGAACTCACAGTGTAGCCCAGGCTATCCTGGAACTCAGGCTGTCCTCCTGCCTCAGCCTCCCAAATGCTGGGATTACAGGCTTGATTCTCCAGGCCTGATCTTGGAATTGTTCTTATTTCTAAATTTGAGACCAGTTTTTCTGCTTCATATATATGTGTAGTTACACATATTTCCATTATTATGTGATCTTGCACATGTGCAGTGATTAATTGTATAGATTGTATACATCTGCACCTACAAACGTGCATATCTAGAAGCATTCACCTGTATTCCCAGTATTGCTCAACTGGAACACTTGTATCTATTTATTGCTGACCATGCCACATGGATTCATAATTGTAAGAGGTAGAAATTCATTTCTTATAAAGTTCTGACATTACTAACATGTAGAACATATATATTTTGCCAGTGTGTGTGAGTGTGTGTGTCTGTGTGTGTATTTGTACAGCTCTGTAAGTATTTCCTACGGCATGGTAATTAGTTATCTAAAGGGTAATTGGGTGATTACCGGGATCTCACCTGTGTGGTGAAGGAGAGGCAGCCCTGAATTTACCCCTTTGTGTTCCTGATATGGAGGAGCCCTGGACCCTGGACCCTGGGTCCTGCACTGGTGTATCACGAAGCCCCTCTCCGGGGGAGTCAGCTCACCTCCTTTGGTGCCCCTGAGACAGCAGAGAGCATTCAAGGGCTCAGTTATTTCTGAACTCAGAAACCCTTATCCTCACGCATCCCGAGCTTGTGGAACTCAGGTACCATTTGCTCCAAATTGACTCAGGCACAAGATCTGTACTCAGGGAGTACAGTGAGCCTGAAAAATCCTGCATGGGGACCTGCGGGAGGGAAAGGGCTCGTGCAGGACCCATAGAGCTATCTCAGGAGGAGACACCGGAATGTGGGGCTCGGGCAAAGGCTCTGGTCTCTTCAACACTGCACATGTCCTGTGCCTCTTCCTTGGTTCTCAGGAGCAGCTCAGGCCCTCAGCCCATCACTGAACAATTCAGAGCCCCAGACATGGGGAAGGAGAATTCTCTGTTGTGGGGCTGCACACAGGACCCAGTCCTGTCCAGGGGATGCAGATGACTTGGGGGACAAAGAGGGACCCTGGAATCCTTGTCCTCTGTCCTGACCTCTGTGACCTCTTTGTCCCCACCGCCAGCCTCACGCTCCCAGGACTACACTGTGGAGAATCTCATCCGGATGGGCCTGGCGGGCCTGGTCCTCCTGGTCCTCGGGATTCTGCTGTGTGAAGCTCAGCACAGCCAAAGAAGCACTCGAGATGCCGCCCGGAAGTAAAGACAGCAGACAGCGGCCACTGCTCGGAGCGGTAGAGCCGTGGGAACACACCTGATGGTCTCAGGAAGTTCCGGAGAAAATATGTTGCAAGCGGGGACTTCTACTTAGCAAACGTCCAGGAGGCCATCACGTCCAGGAGGTTCGAGCACGGGGAGCCAGCAGGTGTGCGGCACGGAGCTCTTTCCCCCACGGAGGGCAGCGCTTCCCTCCCTCTCACTCCAGGCTCTGCGGACCGCCCCTGCTCTCCTCCTGTTCCGTATGTGAGGGGGCGCCCCAGGGGCCGGTTCGGGTCTCACTTTTGCACCCTTCGTGCCCTGTTCCACACTCATGTGACATTTTCCTTCACTGTAATTACAACTTTCCCCAGTTGTATGAATGAGGCCCCATCCTTTCAGCTGACAACCCGGAGTTGGTACAAATAACAGAAAAATGTGCAAAAATAAGATTCCAGCATGAAAGAAACTAATGCAGAATGATGTCCTCACACCCTTTCTGGGCCCCGAAACCCATGAGCCATCATCAGATGACCTTTACGAGGTTTTTCCTGAAATATAACGAGTTGGTCTCAACACTGATTTTTCACAGGGTCTTGCTAAGTTGCTATGTTACCCAGGCTTGTTTTGAATGTAGGATCCTTGACTCAGCCTCCCCCAGGGCTGGAATTACAGGCCTTTGCCACTACCCTTGGTCTGAAGAATCTGTTTTTAAAACAGTCGTGGCTCGTGGTGTTCCCCGAGTACTGTAAAATTCCTTCCATGGCCAACTTCAAAGTGCTGACGTCACGCCGCTGGCGCAGAGGTCAGAGCGGGTGCACAGAGCTGGGGTGTGCTCGGCCTCACTTCCCTGTTCACTGCGGGGTTCAGACAAACAACGGACTGTTATACGAACCTTGAGTCAGCCTTGCTATCACCACATGTTAGTTCCAGGAATTTTTGGTCAGATCTTTCGGAGTCTCTACATAGACACTTGCACCATCACTGAACAAAGACGTTTCTATTTGTTCCTTTTGCCCTGTGCATCCTGCCTTTCCTTGGTGTGAGTGCACCAGCCGGGACACGCGGGGCAGGGCTGGGGCGGGCTGGAGTGGGCTGGGTGAGGGCCCTCCTCGCCCACTGCCTCCTCCCACCAGGAAGTTCCTGGTTTCTCGTGGTGAAATACGCTTCTTTCTTCTCTCCTAGTACTGGGAACTGAACTCAGGGCCATCACAGTGAGATTTATGTCCGGCCTTCTTAAAGCTATTTTGGGACAGGATCTGACTAAGCTTTGAGTTGCCCAGGCTGGACTTGGACTTGAGATCCTTCTGACGCAGACTCCCTGTGCTGTGATAATGGTATGAGCCATCGTTTTCGTAGGTTCCAAGAGCTGGGATCCGGCAGTCTGCTGGACTTCATGCCAGCACTTTCGGACCCAACCCTCATAGCAAATCACAGGCAAACAGCCTGGCTCATCTCCACAGACACAGATCGCTAAGTCCTGCCTGACCTGAGCTCAGCACTGCTCCAACTTCTCAGGGAGTCTGTCCCTGTAAAGGCCTCTTCCGGCTGTCTCCCACCCAGCAGCTACGGCGGGGTGACCCAGAAACCCTGAATGAACTCTGTGACACCTCTTTCCTGGAATAGTTTAGTCCTAATCAATTAACCTCATCCCTAAATGGCTCCTGATTATCACTTCCAAATATGGGAGAGGCTGCAATGGATTTCTTCTCCAACTCTAACCAGCCACATGGAGCACATCACGGTCAGAGTAGAACCCAACCCTGTATTTGCAGTTGACGATAACGACAGGATTTTCTTGGGGCTAGCATTGCCGGTTCAGTCCGTTGTTTCTCGCTGAAGCTCTTTCTGCCAGATTTATTTGTGCTGGCAAAGACAGGATTCCTTCTCAGGAGGTGGGGTTACTGTTTCAGACTGCTTTCTTCTTTTCTCTGCATTGTCTTCCTTTTTTCCAGTTTCTCTGTGATCTTTAGTTTTCTTTATTTGCTTTTCTTGATTCCCGTGCCTATTCTTCCTTTTCACTTCCCTAAGGCATTGTTTTCCAGGAGTCTGGCTTCCTGGTCTGGAGAGGCTGTGTTATGTGCCCAACCATTAATCTCCCCTCTTCAAGTCTTTTTCTCGGGACACTAACTTCTTTGAACAAAACTAAGGCACACAGATTGTAGGAACAAGGCCAGCAAGCTTCAACTTCAATAAACATGTTGAAAAAGGAAATGAGTGACCTGGATGGGCCATTTGGACCCAGGTTATAGAAAAAGTTCTGAAGACATTGTCTACTTCTGAGTCATCTCAGCAGATGTGAACATTTACATGTGCTTTGCACCAAAGAGGTCCTTCTGCAAAAGTGTGGAAGGAGTGCAAAGGAGGCACCGAGCCATCACTGGGAACAGGGAGACCCTGGCTGGGTGCACGGACACCAATGCCCAGAAGGGAGGGAGGAGGATGCCTCTGGCAGAGCTGATGTGTTACACCCAGGACCACACTGCCTGGGGAGAGTTAGGGGAGTCAAGGGAGGGGGCAGCAGCAACCACAAAGGGACGCCTGTCGTGGGTTTTACTCAAACAAATCCAAATAACAATTGTGCATGTGTATATCAGGCTCTCTTCAGGGGTTGATTTACATTTCCATGATATCAAAACATGAAAGCCTTGAATACTTCATAAGAAGAAATCTCTCTCTTACTGCAGGAAAACTCCAGCCCCTCATTTGATATAAACATTTAATGTAATATTTAAATATTATGAATATGAAATGATGAAATTAACAGTTCAACCTGAGATCCACAAATTCACCAGATTTTGTCCAGTTTCTCCATGAAGATATTTTTCCTGACCTTCATTACCACGTTATTGATAAGACTTTGATGCTTTTGAAGTATAGAAGTTGATATTTTCCGCATATCACTTTAAAATATTGCCACAAACTAGCTGATTGACACACCCTATACCAACATAACTGTAGATACTATTTGTGTTTTTTCTTTTAAATTTTTTCCTGCATTGAAACTATGTAGTTTTAACTTCTTTGCAGATTTCATGTATGCAGTACCATTGTGGTATCTTCACTACAGCAGAACTGTGGTGGGGAGCGGGAGAGATGCAGGTCACAGGTCCAAATGCAAATGCAGGAAGAAGGAGTCATGGAGATCTGCCCACACCGTGCTGACCGCACCTCACACAGCGGTGGATAAGAAAGCTTTCTTTCTTCTTTTAGGCAAAGTATGTTCTCTTTCAAAAAAAGTAAAGTGGTGAAGAAATTCTCCACTGGGCACAAGAAAAGATCTGAAGAGTTGTGTGTCCTCCACTGGTTGAAGATCAGAGAACTACATGCTCCGTGCTCTCATCTACACAGCAGCTCTCTTTTTTAAAAAGTGAGAAATCATGATGATCAAGCAGAACTTAAACTTGTCTAGTGCTGTCAAACATGAAAACCTTCAGTGGACTGACTTCAGTAAAGTGCTGCTTCTAGGAATAAGAATTGTTCATTAAATGAGAGAAATAAAACTCTGTGTTAGCCTCTGAGAATTTAAATACACCATGATTTTCTCTAAAAAATGAAACCCTGCCAAATACCACTAAATTCATGAAAATATGATGAATTCGTAGAAGGTATTTTACTCATTTTACTTATATCACACGTGAAGTAAAATGGATAGAAAATAGTTCATTTTCAAAGATTTTAAAGAAATGGTGGAACATCGAATTATGAGAAGGACAAAGTAACCAGGGCTGGAAGAGTGTGGAAGAAGGGCTGGAAATGTATGAATCAGCAGAAGTAGTGACCACGGATAGAACGGAAATGGAGGACAGATGAGTAACATGCTCCTCTAATAACCGCAATCTTTGAAGAAGGAGATGCGTGTAGTGAATAAAGCACATTTATTTGATAAGTCGTCAATATTGGGATATTGATCACTATGTGCATGTGGCCGGGGAATGCGGCTTTAGAAGCACAATCACATCTGCATCTCCCAAGAGCAGGGAGGACATAGCAACATCTCCCTGTGGTTCCGGGGCAGCAGTGCGGGGTGCGCCGTGTGCACACGTTGGGATTGTCGGGCAGTGGGTTCGGGGCAGCCTTGGATAGAGCTGTTGCACCTGGGCCTCATCTGAAAGTTTCCCTCACGCCTCCCTCACTGTGCGAGGTGAGAAGGAGCTGGTCAGCCCCCTGTGTGGGCAGCAAGCAGTGACCTTTGCAGAGTGTGACCTGGGGCCATGACAATCACATCCTCTTTGTGTTCTAACTTTTCTCAGTTCCTGCATCCTGTCTTGCAGAACCAAAGGGCTTTCCAGCTGCAGAGTCTGAGACAAGCCTCTGTAGCAGAATGGTTATAAATAAATTCCACATTTGTGTTCTGTTGCTTAAATCTGGTAGATTTCAGCCTATTCTCCCATACACACAGTATTGTTAATAAGGAAAATTTCAAGAGAAACTGGCTGAAGTTTGATCAGCACTCTAAGTGAACTTGCTATTCTGGGAGACCTGCTGTGTCCATTCTGGCATGAGCTTCACGTTGCCCAAACACAGGCGGCCCTGGACATAGGGAGGTTCTGGGATGGGGGAAACCTAGCAGGAATGTAAAGGAAGAAACCACGGATGGCGTGAGGGGGAGAACGGCTCCACATTCCCTCTCTAAGCCTGGGCCCCTGCTCTCCCACATAGTCATGACAATCTTTCTACCAGCTTGCCTACACCATTTCCCCTAGGGATGATGTGATTCCGTGTGCTCAGCCATGCTCAAGAAAGGTGGGACCCTCACCTCTGAGCTTCACAGTGGATTTTTAAACAACAAACTCACTGAGAGCTGATCTCTGACACTAAACCCGAAGAGACCCCATGATGGATTGGAGAGGAGCTCCCTGCGCAGACAACCTCCTTATAGCTATCAACCCAGGCACATCCCACGGTCCTGCCTTCAGGGGTGCAGCCTTGGGCTGTTATCCCTCCCCTTCCTCCTGTCAGCACCCTGCAGTCTAAGGCACACGGAAGGTGACAAAGGCTTGAGAGCACAGACCTCTCACACCAGGGTTCACACCACTGCTCTGCGTACCCAGGACGCGGAGCCCACAGAGCAGCTCGGGCAAGGGCCTGGCCTTCGCAGGGCAGGTTTGCTATAGGATGATGCTTGTCCTTCTCAAGGTGGAACCGGCGGAATCTGTACAGGGTGGGATCGTGTTTAACTCTCCAGAGTCCCTTAGTGACAGCAGCCTCCTGTGACTCCGTTAGTGACCTTAAATGTGTGAGGATGTGAGCCACACTCAAGTTCTCACTGCTGGTGACTAAATATTCTGCAACTCCCCTGAAATAATCTTGAAGTACTTGATGCGGATGGCTAGCTCATTCTTTCTTGAAACTATGCAATAAAATTTTACAGTGATGAAGTGTATTCTGTATCTGATCTGTCTAATAGGACAGTGCCCAGCTATGGATGTCACATTAAAATTAGAATAAATGAATAAAAGCTAAAATTCAGCTCACTGCCCATATCTGGCAGAGATCAAGAGCTCCCAGGCAACATGGGACTTGAGGCTGAGATGCAGAAAAGCACGAATTTGGCCCTTCCCCCCTGCTCTAGGTCAGTGGTGGGAACTCAGAATCACAGGTTCATTCTGCCACAGAGCTGGGTCTCACCTGAGAGACTCACAGGCTGTGATAGTGACATCAATGGCAAGATGACTTTGCTGGTGTCAGGTAACAAGCAGAATCCCTCCTGCCATGTCTCATGAACTCCCGCCCTCCCCAAAAGTGCTGGTGCAGAGACTTTGCCCAAGCGCTGAGACTGTGACCGTGTTCTCGAACCCAGCGTCCTGTGGACAGGGAGCCATGGCCGCTCTCTGCACACCACATGCTCTGAAAGTGGGTTTCTGCTGACTGGCCCAGGCTACCTTCATCCCTATTCTTCCCTGAGATCAGTATCTATGCAGAATAAGCCTTACTCCACACTTTGACCTAGGGGTTCCCTAGCTGCTGGAATTAGCACATGATGTTCCTTCACATGAAATCCCCGTATTTCGGGGGCAGCTCAGGGTGGACACGCAGTTTCACAAGAGCACCCTCATCTCTCAGCCTCAGTTACGAGGCCTGTGGACCCCACAGTGTCCGTGGCACACGGTGCACAATTCCCTGCTTAGTACCCAGTCACCCCGGCCTCTCCTGCCGGGGACATCAGTGCTCTGAGGCCGAGGTGATTCCCATTCACCTCTCTGAGACAGGCGTCCTTCAAGGATCCTGTCAACAGTAGGTTTTACCAACATGTGCCTGGCGAGTTGTGCTGATGTCCAACCCCCGACAGGAAGACTGTCTGAACCCCAGGACCCTCTAATGTGATCCAGTTGCCCTCTTTCTCCCTGGGGCAGAGGGGCACGGCACTTCCCTGCTGGCTGAGGTCGGGGCTGAGGGGCACACTGCTCAGTGGGCTGAGAGGTTCCCCAGACACCCGGAAACACGTGTGCAGGACCCACCCACGCTGCAGGACACACACGGCCCGTGCTGCAGCGGGACGGGGTGAGGAGGTACAGACAGACGTCCACTCCATTTTCCTCCCTGGAAGCTGCGTGCAGCCGGGCCTGGAGCAGCTCACCCGGTGCTAAGAGGAAGTTGCACCAGCAACAAATTCTCTTATCTTTTTTTGGGAGGGGGATAATCTGACATTTTATTGAGAAAACAGCTATTTGACTTTATATCCAATTCTTATTTATTAGAATAAACTCTTTGCAATCTTGATCACTTCTGGGTAATTATACATAGTCTCTGAGTAAAATATATCCATACTAGGCAAGGCTAGAATATTGGAATTGTGGCTGGCCTTGCTTATTGTAAGAGAGTTTACTGTCTAATGAAAGTATAGTATGTGCACACTAGAAAAATGCTTAGAATGTTTACTATTGGTTAGACAGGCTTGGTGAAACCAAACCAATATGCAGGACAACACAACCAACCTCTCAAGTTACAGATTGCCGGGTTTCCTTTCCATCAGTGCTTGAGAATAAAATACAAATGGGGCCTTGAAAAAGCTTTGATGGGGCCCGGGTATAGCTCAGTGGCACAAGTGCCTGCCTCACTAGCACCAGGTCCTGAGTTCAATTCTCAGTTCAAAAAAAAAAAGCTTTCACATCTCTGTGCTCTCATTTCCACTGTGTGCTCAAGTGTGGCTGCAAACCACTGTATGTGGGGAAAACGTGTTAACCAATTTCCCACTGGTACAAGTTTTGCAACTGCTCTCTTCCTCCCTAAACACTACGATCTCCTGACCTGAAAATACAGTGGTAAGCACTATTTGGGAAGGGAATTCTCCTCACAGTCTATTTCAATGTTCTCTGTTGACTCTTTTGCCTGAGATTCCTAATGCATTCTCTTAATCCTATATGAGTTTATTCTTAGTATTTCTGGAGAACTTCAAAATCTTGGGAGACATGAGATGTTTAAATTTTAGTTTGGCAAAAAGACAACAGTTCCCCAAACTATTAAACAAGCTGCCTTGAACCCACTTCCCGAGACAGTCCTTGTTTGCATCTGAAGCCTCCTGAGCGCAGCACTCACTGTCTGCATTTCTGTCAGCGTCTGATGCTCTAAGCTCTCACCAGAATCCCAGATAAACTCCCCAGCAGGCTCCAGGCTGCTCCTGCCCGCTCCTCCCCACTTTTCCACGTTCCACTCCTAGACCAACTCCATGGCCTCTCCCAGTGGCGCCCATAGCTCATGTGACTGGGGCTGTTCCTGACCCACCCACCAAACAAAGCAGCTGCCGTTTCAGGTTCGCCTCCTGCTTCCCCCTGATCTGCTCACACTGCTCTGTGTTGCAGGACAGGTCTGCTAGGGCCTTTGGGCAGAACTGGTCAGTGTGGACCTCAGGGACCAGGGGCCCACTGTGTCCCTGCACTTCCTGGCATGAGGACACCGAGCCTCCTGTCGGGGAGCAGTCACCATGCACACCTCACTGCCACACAGGGTCTCACAGTCACCAGCCCCCGCCAGCCCTGGCCGCTGTCCCAGTGAGCAGACTCTTCACATTCCGAGGACAGTGACCCTGCCTGGGGCAGCTCAGAGGGAGCCTCACTGCTTGTGTTCTCTCAGTGCTGTTATCTTTCACAGCGCTTTCTTCATGCAGAATAAGAACTTGCTCATGACCCCCGAGGCCCTGTGACTTGGATGTTGTTCTCCAAGCTGTGTTGACTCCTGCAGCCTTCTACTTCTTCTTAGGTCTAACCCAGGCCACTGGGCGGGCCGAGCATCTGTAGCCCAAGCCAAGTCCTCAGCCCTGGAGGGAGCGCATCAGGGAACAGCAGGAGCAGCCACTCTCCCTGGATGTGCACCCCCGCCTGTCACTGTCACCCAACACAGTGAGCACTCTGATGGTAAAGCACACAGGGAAGGGAAAGACCTACACGTGGGGCACGGCCTGCCACCGCCTGTTCACGCAGGGCTGCACTCTCCTCAACCACAGCCCAGGTACAGGGAAGCCACGGGAGCTCTCAGCCCCCAGGACAGTGTGTGAACAGCTGGGGTGATTTCCTTGGGAGCAGGTGACAGGAGTGGTCCCTCAGATCCCTAAGGGAAAACCAATAACAGGAGAACTGGGCACCAGAGCACAGGAAGGAGCGCACACTTACTTCAGCTGCTGGGTCAGGCAACGCGCTGTTACTGTAGGGAAATACCCGAGACAGCAGTGCTTAACGAGGAAACACAGATGCGGGAAGAGGTCCCTTCGCCTCCTGTCCTGCACGAAGAGCCATCAGACTCTGGGTCTCCATGGAAGGTCTCCCCATCAGAATGCAGCCACGTGCACCTCTGGACAGGGAGGTGGTTCTGGAGTCTGGGGAAACTCTTCTAAGTAAATACTCTTAAAAATGACCCAGCAGTGACACTCCAGGGAGGCTCTCAGAAAATGCCTGTGCTAGTTGGAGTTTGGCTTCTGAAGCCATCAGGGAAGGAGCCCAGGTCCTTTCTTTAGTGACTGGGGCTCTTGCCGTATGGGAAGGTTTGGGACCAAGGGAGAGCTCAGACCTGGGCTGAGATTTCACCAGGGAGCTTCGGATCCTGAGCCTGTAGAAGCCAGAGCCCAGTGGAGGGAGGAACTGTGTCCTCTGGGTGGGTCCACAGAGGTGGGGACCCTGAGGCAGACTCTACTTCCGTTCATCTGCGCGTCCTGCAGCGCTGAGGTCTCCTCTGTCAGAGCTGGAGCAGTCAGAGTAGGCGACATGAAGCCTACCGTGCCCGTTCTGCTGTGCCTGGGTCGGCGCTGGGAGGAGGAGGGGACCAGGCTGGGGTGGAGAGGGGGGAATCAGCTGGAGCACCAGATGGAACCTCTGACAGCACAGAAAACTCTCTTCCAGGGCTGAGTCTGCCAATGGGGCTGCAAGGACCCGCAGGTGAGTCTTCCCTGGCAACCCATGTTCTGCCCCATCCTCAAACCCTGGGCCTCAGCATCAGCACCCGGTTAAATAACCCTTAGTTACTGCGGGCTGATCAGTCCCGCAATCTCCCAAGCGAGTGGGCAGCGAAGGCTTAAATAAATGAGACAATGGAAATGATTTCATGGCTCCAGGAGGGACTAACTCTCTTACAGTTTTGATAGTCTCTGAGCTTAGCCAAAGACTTCTCTGGGCAGCCCGTATTTATTTGGTTTACAAACAAAGGAGGAGGATACTCAAGAAAACGTGGGAATCTCACAGAACTTTCAGAGAATTTTCCCAAGTAGCACATTATGTGAATTAGGAGAACTACTTATCTTTAGGTTGGTATTTATTGTAAGAGTGTGGAGCCTGCAGCTACAGTCTTCTTGTAGTTATTGGGGTTGGAGCCAAACATCCTCAGCTGTGGCCTTATTTTGTCCTTTGAGGTGTCACAGTTTCACAAGCTTCAGGGTGGCCAGGGACTCACAGAGGTTTACTTACTATGAGTCCGTTGCCTATCTTCAGACAAGGTGCCTAAGCTTTGGACAACTCACAAGTAAACGTGGAAAGCCAACTGTGACTGCTCAGAGTCACTTTGTAGTGGTCCCCAACACCTCAGTTGGGTGGACACAGGCTTGGGATGAGGATGAAGAACCGGGAAAGGCCTTGGAATCATGTAAGGATCAAAGAAGGTCCTGGGCTCAGCTCCTGACTTCCTTGCAGGGACCCCACCCAAACCCAAGCTCTGGGCCACGCCGGAGTCTGTGATGCCCTTGGGGAGTTCTGTGAGCATCTTCTGTCAGGGGAAGCTGGGAGCCCACAAGTACCGTCTGTATAGACAAGGAAGATCGAGGACCTTGGAAGTATCAACCTTACTCCACATAAAGGCCAAGTTCTCCATCTCATCCCTAAGTGAAGATGATGCAGGGCAATATCACTGCTGCTACCACAGCCTCGCTGGCTGGTCACAGCACAGTGACCCCCTGGAGCTGGTGGTGACAGGTGAGGGGACACTCAGGATTCATCCCCCAGCTTTGCCCTCAGGAAGGGGTCTGTTCTCAGGGATGTCCCCCTCTCACAGCCCAGCCCTGGAGACAGTGCGGGAGGTGGGAGTCCATTTCACATGCTGCCTCCTTCTCTCCTAGGAGTCTACAGCAAACCCAGCCTCGCAGCCCTGCCCTGCCCTGTGGTGACCTCAGGAGGGAACGTCACCCTCCAGTGTGGCTCAAGGCTGGGATTTGACAGGTTCATTCTGACTGAGGAAGGAGGAGACAAGCTCTCCTGGATGCTGGACTCACAGCAAGGCCCCAGTGGGCAGGTCCAGGCTCTGTTCCCTGTGGGCACTGTGACCCTCAGCCACAGGGGTAAATTCAGATGTTATGGCTGTTATTGGAGTGAACCCCAGGTGTGGTCGGAGCCCAGTGACCCCTTGGAGCTCCTGTTCTCAGGTGAGCAAACCCCAGCTTTTTCCTTTAATGACTGAGGACCTGACCCAGAGACCTCGGCAGCGCCTGGTGGTAAGATGGGTGGGGGGCCCAGGGGTGCTGAACTCTGGCAGTGTGGGGCACAGTGAGACCAGAGATTTGGGAACCCGGATGAGACAGGGGAAGTGCAAATCAGAGGGTCCAGGAGGAGGCTGTGTGCTGGCGGCTCCTCGGTGTCTTCTGCTCATCCCAGATCAGCCTTAAAGTCGGCTCCATGCAGGACTCACTGTGCACAGTCAGAACACACCACCCCTCTCCACCTTCCTCCTTGCAGGGATCCAACCAAAACCCCAGCTCCGGGCTCAGCCAGCCTCTGTGGTACCACGGAGGAGTCCTGTGACCCTGTGGTGTGAGGGGACCCTGGAGGCCCAGCGATACTATCTGTACAGAGAGGGCAGCCCGGCATTCTCAGTCACACAGACCTCACCCGAGCCCCGGAACAAGGCCAGGTTCTCCATCCCGTCCATGACAGAAGGTGATGCAGGAAGATATCGCTGTTACTATCGCAGCTCTGCTGGCTGGTCTCAGCACAGTGAGCCCCTGGAGCTGGTGGTGACAGGTGAGGGGACACTCAGGGTCCCAGCCCCAGGCTCTGCCCTCAGGAAGGGCTCTGCTCTCAGGGGTGTCCCCCTCTCACAGCCCAGCCCTGGAGACAGTGTGGGAGGTGTGAGTCAATTTCACACTCTGCCTTCTTCTCTCCTAGGATTCTACCGCAAACCCAGCCTCGCAGCCCTGCCCAGCCCTGAGGTGACCTCAGGAGGGAACGTCACCCTCCAGTGTGGCTCACAGAGGGGATTTGACAGGTTCATTCTGACTAAGGAAGGAGGAGAGAAATTCTGCTGGACTCTGGACTCACAGCGAGGCCCCAGTGGGCAGCTCCAGGCCCTGTTCCGTGTGGGCCCTGTGACCCCCGGGCAGAGGTGGACGTTCAGATGCTACGGCTCTTACAGGAGCCAGCTCCAGGTGTGGTCAGAGCCCAGTGATGGCCTGGAGCTCCCGGTCTCAGGTGAGGAAGTCCTTTCTTTTTCAGGGGCCGTAACACAGAGGATTCCTAGGAAGAAGTTGATTCAAGACATTTACAGAGCTAAAAACTTTAACATGACAGTCAGAGAGACACACGGGGCAGGACAGGGCCAAGGTCTGGCAGGAACTAGCCACTCAGCCTGGCTCCTGCTCCCTCCAGGGCTGTCCAGGAAGCCCTCCCTCCTGACCCAGCAGGGCCCCGTCCTGGACCCTGGACACAACCTGACCTTCCAGCGTTGCGCTGACCTCAGCTATGACAGATTCGCTCTGTCCACGGAGGGGGCATGTGGCCTCCTCTATTGCCCTGCTGGCAGCTCCAGGCTGGGCTCTCTCAGGCCAGCGTTCCCCTGGGCCCTTGGAGCTCCAACCACAGGGGCCACAACTGATGCTATGGTGGACACAGCCTCTCCTCTGAGTGGTCACCTCCCAGTGACCACCTGGACATCCTGATCACAGCAAAAGAGCCCAGGGCTCAGTCAGGGACCCAGACCCTGCCCAGGCCCCGCTGGGGGAGCCCGGGAGGTGATGGCCAGGGTGAGGGTGGGTGTCAGGGAGGGAGAGAGGCAGAGAGACAGGGCAGGGCAGGAGGGGCAGAGTCAGGGGAAACAGAGACAGACAGAGACCGAGGGTCCTCAGAGACAGCCCTGCTGAGGCCTCCGCTCAGAGCAAGGTGGGGCCGCCCTCACCACCCTCCTTCTCTGCAGGACAGCTCCCGGGCACACCCTCCCTCTCGGTGCAGCCGGGACCCGCGGTGTCCTCAGGAGAGAATGTGACCCTGCTGTGTCAGTCCCGGACCCCGATGGACACTTTCCTTCTGTCCAAGGAGGGGACAACCGATCCCCCCTTGCATCTGCGATCAGAGCCCCGAGCTCAGCAGTCCCAGGCGGAATTCTCCATGAGAGCTGTGAGCTCAGCCCTCGGGGACCCTACAGGTGCTATGGCTCCCGGAACTCTTCTCTATCTGTCGTCAGTGCCCAGCGAGCCTCTGGAGCTCATAGTGTCAGGTGCGCTGCCTGGGACCCCAGCAAGGCTGAGCTCAGGGTCCCTCTGACCTTCCGCATGGGCAGCCCTGGCTGGGTGTGTGTGAGGGTCTCTGGGAGAACCAGCCAGAGGCTTTTATTCCTAGGCGTGTCATCAAAACCCATCCTTCCTGTTTAGAATGTGCCCTGTGGGCAGAGGCCACAGCTCGGGTAGAAGAGAGGGCAGAGACCTTCCCCGAGGCAGCTCAGCCCCACACCCCCTCGAGTCCTCATCGTCAGGGTGACTCTGTCCCCACCCTCAGCACCCAGCTCCACAGCAGGAGAGTCTCGGGCTCTGTCCCATGTCCTGTGTCCAGGCTGCTGGAGACTCTCAGCCATTTCAGTCCTGGTTCCAGTCTCAGCTCCGCTGGTGTCCGGGGACAGAGAAGTGGGACAGGCACCTAGATGCCCAGAGGCTGGGAATGTGGGCTGCATGGGTGGTTTCCAAGCTGAGGGAGATGCTGGGGTCCAGCCTGGGAGAGGAGCAGCCACTGAAGTGGGGAGCAAGGAGCCCAGCCCCTCACCTCCCCATCCCTCCTAGGAGGCCCTGAGGATCAGCCTCTCACGCCAGAGACCAGACCCCAGGGTGGTGAGTGCTGGAGGGTCCGGGGCGGGGCGGGGCTGTGGGGCGGTTGCAGCCTCCTCTGGAGATGCTGACTCGGACCAGCCCCTCCTGTGTGGGCCTCAGTTCCTCCGGGGTAATGGGGAGGCCTGCTTTGATCTTCAATTTCCGCTGCTGCTGACCGTGCTGTGAGCCCTGGAAAGGCGGCCTCCCAGGGGAGCCTCCAGGATGTGACTCTGCAGCGGTCCTGCCCCTCTGTCTGGTGAAGGAGACAGTGTGCAGAGAAGGGCTCAGGCCCTGGGCAGGGTGTCCAGGCTCCTTCCCTCCAGCTGAGGGCGCTCAGCTCACCTGGGGAGAGCAGGGCCGGAAGTCCAGCTCCCCGAGTTCATCCCCATCTGGGCTTCTTGTTGGTTCTCTGGGGGTGTCAGCCCTCCTGCATCAGTCTCTGTCTCCTCCTCGGTGACCTGCATGAGGGGGTGGCGACCCTGTGTGCAGGACTGTGAGGTTGTGAGGCGGGGAATGCTAAGTCCCCTCATGGGCTGCACACCAGGGGCTCAGTGAAGTGGCAAACCCTTCCTTTAAGGCAGCACTCCCGGCCCGGGCCTTGAAGGGAACCGTAAGGCTGTGATCGGGGTCTCCGTGGCCTCCCTGCTGCTGCTCCTCCTCCTCCTCTTCTTCTTATGCTGGCGCCAGGGAAGAAGCAGGAAGGCAGGTGAGCAGGGAGGGTGGGACCTGGGCCTCAGAAAGTGGTGGGTGCCGAGGTCCCCAGGGAAACCTGTCCCAGGGGACCAGTCTGCACTCAATCTCCTGTGCAGAACCCAGAGCAGAGAATCCGGCTCAGAGCACACGGCCCCATCCTGGAGAAGTCTCCGATGTGGTCTGAGCTTCTCCACCTCAGGCCGCACTGGCTCCCTGGTCCCTGTGGTCCAAGGCTTCCTCCTGCCCTGTGTGTCCCTCGGACAGGGTGGTTCTGATCTCCTGGCTGAGCCTCTGTCCATCTCCCAGCACAGAGAGAGGCCAGCTTCTCACATCCTGCAGGGAAAGTGGAGCCAGCGCCCTGGGACCGAGGCCTGCAGCAGACATCATTTCTGCCCGAGGACCGAGACTCCCTGCCTGCTGCCCCTCATGGACACCTGATACCCCCTTGTCTCCCCAGCTCCAGCCCAGCAGTTGCTGCCCAGGAAGGAAGCCTCTGTGAGAGGAAGAGGGGTGTGGGTGGGGGATGCCCTAAGTTCTCTGCATCAGGGGGGCAGGGGGAGGCTGGGGCTCAGGGCTGAGTCAGGCAGAACCCTGACACTGGGCCTGGGGACATCACACAGCTGCCTGGCTCTGTGTCCCCAGCTGGACAGGGCAGGGCTGTGAGGCTGAGACACCCCAGGGACTGACCACGAGGTGATCCCTCTTCTGTCCCTGCAGATGCCAACGTGAAGGACACAGAGCCTGAGGACTGGATGGAGCTGGACGCTCAGGTGAGACCCCCCCATCCAGGGCACAGGGACTTCCTGTCCCCCAGTTCAGTCCAGGATGCTGCTCTGTCCTCCACCACTCAGCTCTCAGGGACCTCACAGCTGCGCCTCCCTTCTGGAAGCCCTGGCCTCCGCCTGCTGTGACCCCACCCTCTGCTAGTTTCCTGTGACTCAGGGTCCTCTTCTTTTCCCTTCCTGGCCCTCAGCTTCTCTCTGGCTGTTCCCTGCCTGGGTCTCAGAAGGACCCTGAGTGAATGAGCACCCCACACCCCCGAGGCCCCTCCCTCATTCATGCAGCATTCATGGGGGTGGGGGGCTCCCTCCTGACCTGGCTCCATGGGGGCTGCAGATACAGCAGTGAGCGCAGCCCCCTCCCACCCTTAGTCACCTCGAGGTGGGAGGCCAGTGTCAGAGAGCACAGAGCTGGGAAAGAAAACAATACAGAGAAAGGGGAACAGGGGCAGGAAGACCAGTGAGAATCACAGGTGGGACTCTGGTAAGGTGACCGCTGAGCAGAATCCTGCTTGGAGAGGGCTACACGGGCCTCTAATGCACAAGAAGAGCAGGCAGAGCACACAGCAAGTACAAAGGTCCTGAGGCAGGGAAAGGCTCCTTTACGAAGATGGGCCGTGTGACTGCAGCCAGGGAGCACGGTCCTAGTGTCAGGATGTAAGGGCAGCACTACAGGAAGGAAGTGGCCAGACCTCCAAGGGCTTAGGAAGCCCCTGAAGGTCCATGAGGAAGGGACAGAGTGTGGTCTAATTTCTAAAGGATCCCTGTGGCTGCCCTGTGGGAAACTGGCTAGAGGAGACCAGCGTGGAACCAAGGAGACCCCGTCTCTGTCTCTGTCTCCCTGCTGCAGAGCCCACCTGCTGAGGACCCCCAGGGAGTGACATACGCCCAGGTGAAGCACTCAGCACCCAGGAGAGGGGCCTCCCCTCCTTCAGCCATGTCGGGGCAGCTCCTGGACACCAAGGATGGACAGGCTGAGGAGGACAGGCTGACGAGCACTAAGGTGGGTCCTTGGCTCCCCTGACCCCAGGCTTCCCCTGCGCCAAGTGTGAACCTCCCCTCTCCCTCTCCTCCGCAGACTGCTGCCCCTGAGGGTCCCCAGGACGTGACCTATGCCGTGCCGTGCAGGTGGACCCTCAGACAGGGGGCAGCTGCACCTCCCTCCTTCCATCGGGGGCCCTCCCTGAAGAGCCCAGCGTGTACACTGCCCTGGCGTCCACTCGCCCAGAGCTGTTTCAAAGGGCAGTAAGTGACATCTCAGCCAGGGACACCCGACAGAGACTCCAGAGATTCCAGGACCTTCTGAGACTCACCTGACCCTGCGGTCAGAGAGAGCTCACACCTCTGTGTGCTGGAAATAAAACCAGAGATTCCCCAATACCCACCGAGTGAGTGAGAAATGGACTCATGGGAGAGGATGTGGGAAATGAATGATAGTGTTAATGGCAGCATGACATAACGCAGGTAGGAAATGAGAAAGTTAAGAACCATGGGTGAATATATTGGAAAACACTCTGTATAATTCTTTGAGCCATGATATCACATAAAAAAGTTTGGAAAAAGTATGTGAAATAACTCTATAGTAAAAAAAAGAAAAAACTAATAATATTAGCTACTAATGAGGGCTTAGAAAGAGTTGGCACACATTTCAACATTAGAAAATGGCAGACATTAAGACAGATCCCACATGTGTTTTACAGAAAATAGCAGCAGGATACAGTGAATAATTTTATGCCAACATGTCACAAGATACAGATGAAAAGGACAAAATCCCACAGACACAATGTACTAAGCGCAGATAAACAAAAACCAGAAAATCTGAATTGTGAATGTGTGTTGACCACTTGGACCCTGAAATTAAAACACTCCCCATGCAAACTCTAATTCAATAATCTTTGCTGGTGAGTTCTATCACACTGAAGAAATACAAATCACAAAGTTCCACAGACATTTCTTGCAAATAGAAAAAGAGAAAAGATAGCCCAACATATTTTATCAGACCAGGGAAATTATTGTACTTGACAAGGAAACTACAAAATGGGAAAATCACACTCATAACTTGTATATCCACCTAGATTTGAGTCTCTAAAAATACCTCTTCAGTCACATGTGGTGGCCCTCATCCGTCATCCAAGCTATTCAGGAGGCTGAGGCAGGAGGGTCCAAAGCTTGAGCCCAGCCTGGGCAACTCAATTAGACCCTGTCAGAAAATAAGGACTAGGGACAGAAATAAATGCTCTCTGTGTTCAATTCAAAGTCACCCCTCAAAAAATAGAATAATTTTCAGTGATACATGTAAAAGAATACATCATGATAACACTTATGGGGTTTTTCAGTTTTGTTTTTCATTTTTTTTTTTTTTGGTTTTTCTCCGGTACCAGGAATCGAACTCATGACCTTGCGCTTGCCAGGCAGGCGCTTTTGCCACTGAGCTAAATCCCCAGACCCTTATTTTTCATTTGAAAGGCAAGAGTAGCTTAAAATTTAAAAGTACGTAGACATAATGGGACACATTCACACTACTCGCACAAGTATGCTATCAATAGGTGCAGAGAAGCCTTTCATAAATCACTCGTAATAAAAATAAAATTCATCACACTGAAGGAGAATTTGCCACCAGTTACAAGATTGTTTAAAACCCCTCCCCCTCCGCTTAGCGTGAGACCCTGACGTCTGCCCCCAGGCGGGGAACAGCCCGAGGGTGCTCCCTGTGGGCTTCTCTTCAGCACAGCCGGTTACACAAGCGCGGCTGGAGAGCGCGGGTGTGGGTGAGCGTCACACTGCGTCACTCACAGCCAGACAATAGTGTAAATGGGACACAAAATGACACAAAGTCACTTTACTCAAGTCATAAAGGGGCGTTTTCAACATCCCTGGGATGCTAGGCCAGTATGTCAGGATCAAGTGCACACCAACTGTCCAGCTGCACACCGAGATAAAGTGGAAGGATGTCTCCCCGCTCCTTTGACTTTACCCAACAAGGTTGATCTGGACACGTGACCTCTCACATTGTAAGGTAACATGTTGCATCGATCTCACTTGAGTTTGTGATCATCTTTTATAGCAGCAAATAAGAAACACATACAACCACATACTCTTTCAGTGCTGATATTAATATTATGTAGTACTATTTGTTGGGAACCAGAATGTGTGAATCGGGCCCTGGAAGTCCCAGGCAGAGAGCGCAGAGGTATGCAGAAGATGCTACCCCCAGTCATGACAGGACACCCCACAGAACTGTGTCACTCAGGGCAAGATAACATGTGCTAAAGGTGCTCTGACCCTCAGAAACAATGCTATAGACACAGGCCTGTTCTTGGGGGAAGAAAATAGACTCCCCACTAACCTGTTCCCTGTTCTTTGGTCATGCTTTGTTCTTTATCTTACTAACCTGCTTTGACCACCGCCCAGCTCTTCCCTGAACCCATCACCACGTCTCCCTTACTCCTACACTTGCTAAAAAAAGGCGGCCAACCGGGCGGCCTTTGTCTTTGCCTCACCTGAGTCACTGAACTCCTGGACCCTTTGTACTTTCAGAAGCTGTCTTTCTCTTCTTCATCCCTCACTATCCCTGAGCAGCCAGCAGTGGACTTGATCAGCTCCTTGTATTTCTTCATCTAAGAAATGTGTATTCACCTCAGATGCCCATCTTTGGATTGGGCCTTTGAATTTAAGGGTCTGATTTTTTTCAATTCTTTATATGTTCTAGATATAAGTCCTCTGTCCAAGGGACCGTTAGCTGAAATATATTCTCATTCTGTGGGTTGTCTTTTCACTCTATTGGTGATTCTGTTTGCTTGTATTTTATTGAGAATTTTTGCATCTATATGCTTTAGCAAGATTGGCCTGTAGTTCTCTCTTTTGGTTGGGTATTTCTCTGGTTTTGGTATCAGGATAATACTTGCCTCCAGGAATGAGTTAGTGAGTGTTGTTTCCCTTTCAACTGCATTAAAGTTTGAGAAGTATTGGCATTAGATCTTCTCTAAATTTCTTGTAGAATTCAGCAGTGAATCCATCAGAACCTGGGCTTTTTTTCTTGGTAAGTTTTTAATTACATCTTCAATCTCATTAACTGATATTGGCCTATTAAGAATTTTCATATATTCTTGATTCAGCTTTGGTAATTTATATGTATCTAGGAATCTGTCCATTTCTTCTGTGTATTCCATCCTATAAGGATAAAGATTTTGAAGTAGGTATTGATGATCTTCTAAATTTCCACAGGATCTGTAGTGACTTCACCCTTATCATCCCTCAGTGCATGAATTTGAGTCTTTTCTGTCCTTTTCATAAGGTTGGCTAAGGGTTAATCAATTTTATTTATTTTTTTCAAAGAACCAACTCTTCAATTCATTAATTCTTTGTAATGATTTCTTGGTTTCCATTGTGTTAACTTCTGCTCTCATCTTTATAACTTCCTCCCTTCTATGGGCTTTGGGTTTGTCTTGCTCTCCTTTTTCTAGAATCTTGAGATGTAACATTAGATTATTTATTAGTGCTCATTCTGTTTTCCTTATGTGAGAATTCACTGCTATAAATTTCTCTTAGGACTGCTTTCATTGCATCCCATAGGTTCTCGTATGTTTTATGTGCATTCTCATTTAGTTTTAGATATTGTTTAATTTCTTCCTCTGTTTCACATGTGACCCATTGGTTATTCAAGAAGGTATTATTTAATTTCCATTAATTAAATGGTTTGGGAGGGTTGCAGTTTCTTTTGCCCTTACATTCTAATTTCATTGCACTGTGGTCAGATGTTATGCATGGGATAATTTGAATTCCTTTGCATTTACTAAACCATGTTCTGTGAGCTGGTATATGGCCTATTTTAGAGAATGTCCTGTGTGCTGCTGAGAAGAATATGTATTCTGATACTGTGGGATGCAATACTCTGTAAACATCTACTAAGTACTTTTGTTCACAGGCTTGGTTCAGTTCTGTTATTTCTTTGCTAATTTTTTTATCTAGTTGATTTATCTCTTCGTGATAATGGGGTATTGCGGTCTCCCATTACAATTGTGTTATTGTTTATTTGATTTTTTGTGTCTATTAATAACTGTCTTATATAGTTGTGTGCTCCTGTATTTGGTGCATATATATTTATGACTGTTATCTCTTCCTCTTGAAATTTTCTCCTAACAAGCATGTATTGACATTTTTTTTATCCCTTTTGATCATTCTTGGTTTGAAGTTGACACTGTCTGCAAAAGGGATAGCTACCCCTCCTTTTTTCAGGGTTCCTGTTGTATGGAAGATTGTTTTCCACCCTTTGATTTTCAGTCTATGAATTTCTTTTTGCATTAAATGTGTTTCTTGTATACAGCATATTGCTGGATCTTGATCCACTCTGCTGGTCTGTTTCTTTTGGTTGGTGAGTTGAGGCCATTTACATTGATGGTTATAACTGATATGTATTGGCTTATCTTCGTCATGGTATTTTCCTGCTCTTGGTTCCCTGCATTTCCCCTCTGTTTAATTGCTTGCCTTGCCTGGCGGTCTCTTTCTGCAGTTGTTCTTGGAAATGTAGTCATTTCTATCTCTTTCTTTGTAGTCATTTCCATCTCTGTCTTTGTAGCATCAGTTTGGTTTTCATAAATCTCCTCAGTTGTTCTTTGTCATAGAAGTATGTTATTTCTCCATTAATTTTGAAAGATAGTTTTGCAGGGTATACCAATCTGGGTTGGAAGTTGTTTTCTTCCAGGACTTGAAATATTCCCTCCGAGCTCTTCTTGACTTGAGCATTTGTGTTCAGAAGTCTACCATGATTTTGATGGGTTTTCCTTTGTAGGTGATCTGTTTCTTTTCTCTAACAGTTTTTAATATTCTGTTCTTGTGCTAAATTTCTTGAATCTATTTTATTATATATCTTGGTGTAGTTTTATTTTGGGCATGAATGTTTGGAGTTCTAAATGCTCCATTTATTTGTGTGTCAAATTCTTTATCCACCTGCCTGGTGGCTCCCGGAGGGTGGGCCCCCAGCGCATGGGGAGCCTCGGGCAGGGAGCGCCGGTCTTCAGACCGGCAGCTCACTCCTGGCCTCGTCGTTCCCCGGAAGGAGGGCTTCCGGCCCACAGGGAGCCACGGGTGGGGAGCGCCAGTCTTCTGGCTGGCTAGCTTCCTGCCTGGTGGCTCCCGGAGGGTGGGCCCCCAGCGCATGGGCCGCCGCTCAGTTGAGATCTATCATGACACAGAGAAACAGTGACACAATTGGCCCACCATGCACCAACTGCAGCTGCCCACCCACGGATGTGTGTGAATCATTGAAACTTTGAACAACCCCTGGGAATACATGCCACACAATGGGCCACTCTTGCTCCTGCCATTGGGAAC